GGAACCCTCTGTTCTATAGGTAGAGACCCTTCTAGGAGAGGAACCCTCTGTTCTACGGGGAGAGACCCTTCTAGGAGAGGAACCCTCTGTTCTATAGGTAGAGACATTTCTAGGAGAGGAACCCTCTGTTCTACGGGGAGAGACCCTTCTAGGAGAGGAACCCTCTGTTCTATAGGTAGAGACCCTTCTAGGAAAGGAACCCTCCGTTCTATAGGGAGAGACCCTTCTAGGAGACGAACCCTCTGTTCTATAGGTAGAGACCCTTCTAGGAAAGGAACCCTCCGTTCTATAGGGAGAGACCCTTCTAGGAGACGACCCCTCTGTTCTATAGGTAGAGACCCTTCTAGGAAAGGAACCCTCCGTTCTATAGGGAGAGACCCTTCTAGGAGACGACCCCTCTGTTCTATAGGTAGAGACCCTTCTAGGAAAGGAACCCTCCGTTCTATAGGGAGAGACCCTTCTAGGAGACGACCCCTCTGTTCTATAGGTAGAGACCCTTCTAGGAAAGGAACCCTCCGTTCTATAGGGAGAGACCCTTCTAGGAGACGACCCCTCTGTTCTATAGGTAGAGACCCTTCTAGGAAAGGAACCCTCCGTTCTATAGGGAGAGACCCTTCTAGGAGACGACCCCTCTGTTCTATAGGTAGAGACCCTTCTAGGAAAGGAACCCTCCGTTCTATAGGGAGAGACCCTTCTAGGAGACGACCCCTCTGTTCTATAGGTAGAGACCCTTCTAGGAAAGGAACCCTCCGTTCTATAGGGAGAGACCCTTCTAGGAGACGACCCCTCTGTTCTATAGGTAGAGACCCTTCTAGGAAAGGAACCCTCCGTTCTATAGGGAGAGACCCTTCTAGGAGACGACCCCTCTGTTCTATAGGTAGAGACCCTTCTAGGAAAGGAACCCTCCGTTCTATAGGGAGAGACCCTTCTAGGAGAGGAACCCTCTGTTCTATGGGGAGAGACCCTCTAGATCTTATAAAGAGTGAGAGATGAGAGATTTTAGGGTTTGATGGCTCCAGAAAGCTGATTCTGATCTTTGTGAGGGGTCTGTGCAGTGTTGGGATATGTAGGGGGGAGGTGGGGTGCCCTGTGACAGCGCAGGGCTCATGTACTCATTTATGTAGTAGGTGTGCACAGGCTCTGACCCTTTATCTTCTGTGTGTCTCCGCAGTCACGCCCGGTTACGCTGCCTCTGTACCTGCAATAGGTGTACGTTCTGCCTGTGTCAGAATCTGCTCCACTCTGACCTCGTCCAGGCCGTAAAGAACAAACTCTTCACCGCCGTTGTTAACAGGTCTTTCATTTTCTTCTCTGCCTGCACACGGCGCCCTAACACTAACGCATGTGATATATACATTTCTATAGAGACCCGTGTGAGATCACATTGCCCTAACACACTAATATGAGGTTAGCTGTGTGGTCTGGGGAGCTGACAATCTAATACACGTGGTGATGACAGAGTGCTCTAATACACTAATATATTCTACATATATAGCATTGTAGATACATCCATAGATAGCCATATATGTGTCATTCTCCAGCCCGGGGTGAGAGGACAGGAATGTATGTTTCTATAAACTCTCTACATGTATATATGATCTGTATGTTTCTTGTCCATTGAAGGGCACAGGAATTCTATTAGTCGGGTTATACTGCCGTCTACAGGAAGTTGGGACACCGGGAAAAGTTGTAAGCCAGCTCCAGTATAACCTCTACCCAGCATGCCTCAGTTTCTTGTTGGTGTCCTCGGAGGTTTTCTTGCCTTTTCTTCACTTTGTGGATTTTTCTTCTGTGACCTCCCATCAAGTTTCCTTGCCCCATAGCAGGATATCTGGATCGCAGCCCCTCAGTATTAACTTAAGAGGCTGTACCCCGACCACGCTTCACTAGACGTATTTTAGGCTCTTGCTGTCGGAATCCCTTTAAAGGGCCTAACATCCTGAAAGTTCTAGTCTAGTGTGGTAACTGCAGACAAGGTGGTTCAGCTCAGATTCTTGCTGAAGAAGTCTACTCCCTGAAGTCATGACCCCCCCATCATAGGTTCCTTCCTTATTCGTCTGGATAATTGCCCCTTTCAGGGCCTGTGGAGTGTTGGGGTAATACCCTCTTGACATAGTCTTCGGAGTGTTGGGGTAATACCCTCTTGACATAGTCTTCCCTTCTCTTGTTGACTCTCATTCATGTACACCTTCCCTCTCTGTCTAAGGGTCTGTATTTGGGACAAGACTTCCAGATGGTCCCTTTAGACCTAGAATTCCCTGTCACTACCCATCAGTCTCTTGGGCTGGCTTCTCTCCCCCCGGCTTCAGATCAGACATTTCCCACTCCTGGGGATCCATGTGTACGTCAGGAGGGTTTGGGAGTTTTCCATGTCACAGGTCAAGTGGCCTGGTCCCTACACTGGATGATGCAGAGTGTCTTCCTCAGAGGCAATACCTTTCCCTCTGGCTCTCCTCAGCTAAGGGCCGGGGGTCATGAATTCGGGGAGAAGACACTGAAGAGTGAGGGTTCCATACCTCAGTGCTCCTCTTATCCATAGCTGGATGGACCTGTGCTCCCCTGGACTGTCAGCAGGAAGAACGTCCTGGGATCCTATTGCAGGCAGCCCCTGTAGGGGACAAAGAAAGTCCAGAGGCCTTCATGGGACCTGGTCACCAGCAGATGGTTCCTCCTCCGGTGGCGGGTTTGTACCCTCTTGAGGAAGATTCTTTCCTCCTTCCTGTCCCTAATCAGGTTGCTGTTCTCGGCAGTGAGACTGAGATTCTTGTTTCTCCCTCATTGGCTGAGGAAGCTTTGGTGGTCGGAAGCGGGTTAGAGAATTCTCAGAACCAAGTCTGATCTTGAAGTCTTAGACAGGTTTGCAGCGTTCCTCTGATGGACTCCAGAGATCCTTCCAGGTGGTTAGGTGGGTTTCTGCTCATCCTTCTGGTTTTCACATGCACCATGCTGTATTGTGGTATACCCTCATTCCTGCGTTCCCTTGTTCCCAGCTCCTCCCACTCATCCTCCTCCCTTCAGTCAGATATCCGGGGCGGTACCTTTTAGGATCTAATCTGGCTCTGATTTGGGCATTGGTCCTTCAGATCCTTCACATGCGGTTCCCAGATTATTGATGGGCCTGCCAGTTGCTGTTGGCCCGCCCCTCGGTTAGGCTGCGTTTGGACGTCCTCACTGTTTCCGAGTAGCTGCGTCTCTCAATGGATGGGAAAGAAAATACAGTTTTTGTATTTACAGTAAAACCTTTTTCATGGAATCCATTGCAGGACACAGGCTCCGCCCCTCCTGTGTCCTTTTCCGGCCCCCACAAAACTGAGACGACATTGGCAGGGGAGGTTTATTGGGGGGCTGTCTTACAAGTCTTCTGGTTGCCAGTGTCCCAACGTCCTGTATTCAGCTGTATAACCCAACAGTATCTGAATTCCTGTGTCCCTGTATGGACTCCCAGACAAAGATTGTAAGGTAAGTAGAAGAATCCTCTTCCTATACGTTGTGTACTCCGTGTATATGACATGTATGTTTATATGTAGCACCCCGTTATTTCTGTAATGGACATTCGGGGAGAGAAGTGATCTCTTGTGCTCTCCATACATTACACCGAAAACACAAGTTGTCTGATGATTAGAGGGGTTTCTCTGAGCATTGCCACGTAGGGGGAAGTTAATTCCCAGCGCACAGTTGTCTTCCTGTCAGGGCAGCTCTCCATGGGGAAATGTAAAGAGAAAAGCTGCTCCCTGTGACGTCTGGTTGTAGTGACAGACTTGTGTTTTAGGTTGGTTCAGCTGTTTAGTAGATCTGCACCTATAATGAACACTCCGCTCCTCGCCCTGTGATTGGGTAATACGAGAGAAGAGAATGGCCAATGAGGGGGGGTGGAGGGCACCATTAAGCCCAATTCTACGTACCTCAGTTCCTGTCATGATGGCACAATGACAGAGGGATAAGAAATGATGGAAGATGATTCCATTGCTGGAAGGAGAGAAGCTCTGCCAGGTCTGAGACTTCCTGTGCTGGTGACACCTGTTCCCCCGTATTTCTTGTTGTGGTGTCACAGGAACAGGAAGTCAGATAAATCTCTCAGATGAGCAGACAGAGGATCCATCCCTTTCCTGGCTGGAGTTTGGCTTTAAAACACACCCAACACAAGAAACAAACGTAGGCAGCCATTGCTGGCCTCTCCCTGGAAATGTTTGGTCTTGAGACAAGCATGCAGCAAGTGAAGACAGACATGCTGAGCCGCTTGCTTGGTCCTGGTGACTGTGACGGTATCGGCATTGCGTCCAGGGGCCGGTGTATTATAAAGCCATTCTATACCCAGACAGGAACCAATCGGAGTATAGAGTTCAGTTCTGAGTAGAGAGAACAATGAAGGATGGATTCTGATTGGTTGTTGCTCTCTGAACAGAGCCCTCCTTCTGGATATGCTAGGTGCCTGGCTGTCATGGCGATCCTTGCCTTCAGTACTCTGAAGTATTTTTGAGTTGATTTTGGGTTGGTGGGGGGGGTTGCAGGCTGTGTGTCCTCGGCCCAGTTCATCTGCATGAGGTGAGTGGATCTCCATCTTCTGTATTGGCTCACCTCTCCGCTCTGTGTACTGCTCACATTCCCAGAATCCTCTGCTCCGCCTGTCTTCAGTTCCTGTGTCTCTCTTCTCTCCCCCCAGGTCTTCCTTTCAGTTTGTGTGT